GACAAGGAACTTTTCAGCAAGCTTGTTTGAAGTCAATAATTCTGTTATGTTAATGAAATGGTACGAGTAATAATTTCACTTAAAACTTGGGCAAAACGTCCTGGTATAAGTTAAAAAAAATCTGCCAGTTGAACTAGTACTTTTTCATCAGTGTGAAGGAATTATTTATTTAAAACAAGCTCATCTATCTCGCTGAAAAGTTACCTGTTAGTTTTGTCTTTATTTCAAGAGTACTAAAATATTTGCACTAGAAACTGGACCAAAAATACTTTTCAGTGTATTTTACAGCTCTGAAACAGACACTCGACAACCTTTATGGCCGTTTCGTCTTTTATTATATTTATTAAATATATGTTAAACATAGAACATGTAAAAACCTCATAAATGCAGCGCAAGACAACGTTTGTGTTTAGATTCCAAAGGTTCAGGCAGCTCTGTTCCTCTTCTTCTCTTGTTTAGGTGGTGAAGTTAATCAAGCCCATCGTTGCTGCTTCCAGTCACGTTGTTGGCCACAAGGATGTTGATAAAGGTGAGCCTCATTTATCTGTGATCTCGGCCATCGATGAACGTTTGAAAATGTGGGGTGCTGCAGTTGGGATTCAGAGCCGCCGACTGTGCAGAGCTCTTCAGCATTCAGTTCAGTTGCACTAATCTGTCTTCAATGATTAGCTGTCCACACCGAGTCTTAGTCTGTCTCTCATCCTCTCCCCCAGAAACCCAGAGCACCGTGGTTTCTCTGATGAGAGAATTGGCCCAGAAGCATGGCGCAGAGTTCCAAGCAGCGGCAGCCTCCCTTCCGGCAGAGCAACAAGCCAAACTCGGCGCTGCCGTCACCTCCTCGTAGCCCGAACGCGTTCTTCGTCTTCCCTTCAAACAGTAAAACACTTTGACAGGACAACGGACGTTGCACTGTAGGAGGGGAAGGGGATGTTTGTCTGTTTGACATAAATATAGCACTTCAGCCACTCTACTAGTTTTACTGCATTCATAAGTTCTTGGTCTAATTTATTTACATCCCAGTCTCTTTGTGTTAAACATTTCAAAGTTCATTCGGTACTTAGAAGTTCTGTTTTAACATTCTCTTTGAGCTCTGGTTTTTGCTGATCTTGTAAAATTATAATTTTCACTCAAACAACGACAAGGTTTACAATTTCCCCCGACTTGTCTGAGGTAAGGAGTTTCGATTGATGGTTAATTTCCTGATAAGTTCACCTAATTTCTGTTCTGAACTCATTTAAGTGCCTGTTTTTCTTCATTATCTTATGCAAAGTAGAGACTATTTAACTTGTAAAGTCAATTTTCACTGCCCCATACTGAGATCTCTTTGTAGTTTTACACCATTAGTGGTCTAAGACCACCTCACAAGCTAGAATTCATTAAAAAAAAATAATTAAAACAAATCTTACTGTTTTCTGATTTAAACAGTTATTATTGCCCAGTAAGTAATCCTGTCAGTATATGCTGCACAACTCCCATCTTATGGTCGTACGTGTTGCGGAAAGTATAAAACAAAACAGTTGCACAAAAGCTACCGTATTGCAACTTTCATATCTGGTTAACTTTGTAGTTATGTGATGTTTAAAATTGAAAATGCATTTGAAAAAAAACAAAAAACAAAAAAAAAACACAAAAAACCGAATGTTTCCAACATGTCAACTCTGATTTTGTTAATAAATCTACACCTTGTTGATTCGTGTTTTTTTTTTTTTTTTGTATGGTAGTTATCCTGTCACGCATCAGATGTCTCGTTGATCCTCAGCCTCGGTATTCCCAGGCTGACGTTTTTCCAGGCCTAACGTCATGGTCATCTCCACAGGCTTCAATTTGTTCTTCCCTAGAACGAAAAGACATCGTTACATTAAGGCCGTTGTAGATGGGAAACGAAAAAGTAAATTGCCGCCAAAAACATCTCAGAAAGTTTCTAAGGAAAAAAAAAGGAGGAAATTTCAGAGTTTGAACATTTGCTGGAATAACCTGACCTTCTGAAGCTCAGAAAAGTTCCAAAAGTCAAAAAAATCTTGACTTTTGAAGTTTTTTTTCTACAATGTTTATCATATCGTCTTCAATGGCTCTGTAAGCCATTGTACACCTCTGTACAGTCACTTGTAAATGTTCTCAGACTTAGTGATGTTACAACCATATACTTACTAGTGCTTTGTTATGAAAAGGAAAGAAAATAAAGCATAGTTTTCAGACTAGGACCACCATTTAGCATATCTGTTTACAGCTGAATTTTTGTCCACTCAGGCTTGCTGAGTATCAGTGAGCAGTTTTCTTTATTTTTCAACTAGAGAAAATGGATATACATGCGGTGTTCCAAGTCTTCCAGTGATTAGAGGTTTGGTATGATCTTTCTTCACTCTACAAGATTTTAGCACACCAATGTGATCTGTATCAGTCTGAGCTTTCTGCTATTTGAGTGGCTGTGTGAGTTCTGGAGCGTGGAGGATTTAATTTCTCACCCTCTTTGAAATATGTAAAATCTAAATGTCTACACAGAGGAGCTGCGTCCAAACCTGGATCTCCCTGCTTCCAGGGCTGAATGTCCATCCCTGTCCGGCAGAAGGAGCGGTCAGTGTGGGCTTCTGTGCTGTACAGAACCTCCTGGAGTTGCTTATCTCCTGGCTTTTTGGCTTTCACTCGCACCTAAAGCAACATAAAACCACACCACCATGACTTCGCTTTTCTGCTTTCGCCCAATCTTCACGCGCTTTCCCAATAGCTGATCAGATACCTCCAGGATGGTAGTTTCCTTCTCCTTCAGCTTCCCTGCCTTGTTCTTCACCTGTGTCTTCTTGGTGTCGACCCACACCACCCTCTCCTTCACGTCTGACCTAGACACGTAAACCAGATGTTTGATAATGTACCCTCTACTTTTAGTTAACCCTAAAAAGGACCAAACTCTAGGTATTGTCAACTAGAGTTTAGATCGGGTCTAAAAAATCCAGTCCAAGCCAATAGAATCAGACACAACGTCCATCAAGCAAATCATTTCGGCCCTAATTTTGAGTCGACTCACTCTTGGATGCCCAGATCAGCCAGCGTGGTGTCCAGGAAGGGAAAGGCTTGGTGAGAACCATCCGCCTGCAGCTCGATGGGCAGCGCCACCGACATGGGGATGTCCTGCTCCACCTCCACGCGCACCATCACACTTTGCGGCTCGCGGAGCTTCCTGCCCGTCGGCTCGGCCTCTCCCTCCCCCAAGGAGGCCTGCTTTTTGTCTGCCGCCAGCTTGAATCGATGTCCCGTTCCACCACCGACGACAACACCGCGCCCTCTTTGTTGAGGAAGTGTTATCAGTGTGACCGATGCACCCTATCTGCTGCCCCTGTCTCCAGCTGTTCTTTATTAATCCCGGCCTGCGCTGATGCAGATACTAGCCGGGTGACGATTCCGAGATGTGGAGATGCACGCAGACCCGAGCTTTGCTCCTCCAGGCTGATATAAGCAGCCAGTGGGAAATGTGTGCTATGTGTCGCCCAGGTGTCAGGTTTATTAACCCGTCACAGAGCTGACTGACAGATGGTCGGGAGTTTGCGTTTGCATTCACACCGATACAGTCAGGAGAGGAGTCGCAGAGGGTTATTCTCAGCTCAGCATACAGGAAGCATGTGCCTTTTGTGTCTTCAGTCACGGTGTAAACGCTCGGAGCTGAGTGATTCATGTGTTTTGGATGAACATGTAAGGTGACAAGAAGCATTAAAATGCCAACATCTGACCTCAGGTTCATTGTGGATGACAGATTTATGACGGCGTGTAATGAAAAGATGCCAGCCGCCTCATCTCGTCCTCTGCTCTTTGAATGTGAGGTTGGTGTGTGAGCCTCTTACAGCACCGTCACATTCTCCACAACACGATTTTGCTTGTCCCAGACCTCTGCTATAAGATGAATACATATGTTTTTTTTGTATTTTTGGTCTATTTTCAAGTGCAAGTATCTGAGTACACTTGAATTAAGGATAAACTAACTTACGACTTTTCAGCACTATATAAAAGTTTGTTTTAAGTCAATTCCTTAATATTGATATAAAAAAGTAGTAGTTCCACTATCAGATTATTTCACTTATTACATGGGGGGGAAAATGGAAGTAGACATTTTGTTCTATTTCATTTAATTTTTCAATAACAGTCTGTAAAATATTTAAATGAGATTCCACACCAGGAACCCTGGAGCTCGGTATGTTGGATTTCCATGAGCAACAGCAAATAACCCTGACACACCAACACCAGTTTTCCCACCTGCACCCCTATAACCGGCCTGCGACCCTGCCCTCCCACGACCTCGTTAATGCTCCCATCTTCATTCATGGCTTTTCCACAAGCCAGTAATCTAACTGATTTACAAAACAAAAGCCATGTGGTGCCTGTGCTTTTGCATCTGAACGTGCTGTAAAAGTAGGGAGGGAGAACTGCTGCCTGCTGTTAACAAAACTATTCAAACGCTTCGTCATTCCAGAGAGATGATGCAAGTGAGGATTTCTGCTCTCCGACCTCAGCTCAGGCTTCAGCCACACCAAGGTGCCACACAAATAGTGTTGCTGCCCAGTTTATTTACAATGCAAACACTTCGTTCAGGCGTGATGTCATATTTCCACCATTATTAATTATTGTGCTTCTACCCAGTGAGTTTCGATCAGTGTTTTTTGACATTGAAATAAAGAAATTACTGAAGAAAACCTCCCCAATCTTTGCAACTCTATCAGTGCATAAGAATAGTTACTCTCAAAAGAAAGCATATCCACTTACCAAAGAGGCAACTTTAGACTTTGTATTTAGAAAAAGTTAATAGAATTTTATTCAATTTGAAATTAGTTGAACAACAAACACAAAGTTGCTCTTTGTAACATTTAATGTTCTAAAATAGAAAAAAAAAAGCTTGAATAAAACTCAACATGTAAACACTATCAACATGTTTTTTTTTTAAATAATTAAAACATATAAATACATTAGATATTTAAAAGATTAAAATGTCTTTAAAATTGGCTTTAATAAAAAAAAAAACTGCTTAAAAACTGCAAACTGCTGCAACAAATGATTGCTTAACAATTACAAAAAAAAATTAATTTATAGAAGAATTAATTCATTCTGTTATAAACTATCAGTGAGAACTGCGGTGTGTTCAGATCGGTGTACTGAGTGCTGCTGGCGCTATGGCGATGCTGCTGTAGGGCTCGGTCTGACAGGCCGTCACCCGTCCGTCTGACAGCAGCTCTGCACACACAAATGATGACAGATTAACTTCACTCACCAGAGCTTACAGATCGGAACCATTTCTCAGGTAGAAACTCTTGAATATTTGAGGAAAAGCGGCAGATTTCCTCACCCAGCAGTTTGTTCAGAGTGCGAGCTGCGGTACAGCGGTCGGCCTTTGGGGGCAGCAGAGAGTCAAAGGCGACTTCACCAAATCTCTGCTGGATGGAGGCGATCCAGCTGTGGAAATAAATACGGAGATAAAAAGACTGATGAAAGCGCATGGGAAGATTGATACTTTAGTTTCAGACTTCCTTTTGAGATGTTATCTTATTTTTGTATTGTAGTTTCTTAACTCTGCCTCGAAAAAATATTTTGTTTTGATTTGGTCTTAGAAGATAATTTTTTTGGACTTTGTTTAGAAGAATGCACAGAAACGATGTTAGTGTTAGATACTTGTAAACATTGTCCAAATTATGTTTGAAAGGCTTGAACAAACTAACTCAAAGGAAAAATCACAAAAGCACTAATAATGTTAAATAAAACTATTGATATCGGTATCGATAGTGGCAATATTTATTTTTTATTATATTTCTTTGGTGCCGGATCGATACCAAAATATGCAATATCTCACAGCTCTAGTGGCAACACATACTCTAAAGATTCAGAATTGAAATCAAATAAAAACACATTATGTTGTGTTGCTCTATCAAGTAAAATCCAAATAAAATATGTTTATATTACTTGAAAATGGTCTCAAAACAATATCATCTTCCTGGAGGTAATATAAGTATTATAGGGGTCCAGAGCCTTTTTTTTTTTTTAACCAGAATATATATTTTTTTATTCACAGCAGTGACTACATGTTACTTAGCACATATCACCATTATATTACTTGAAAATGGTCTCAAAACAACAATAATAATATCAGTTATCGCGATAACGTGCAACATTCTTTATTGGTGAACCTCAGCATGTAGTGTGTGTCTGTCTGAGCCTCGGGCATCTCCATGTTTTCCTCAGCTATTGGCTCCATTGGTGGCTGGACGTCCTCATGTGGAGACCTAGACACACACACACACACACACACGCATTCAATGTCATGTTTTCTGTTCATCTAGCTGTCTCCGTTCATCAGCAACCCACCATCTGCTGACAGGAGTCATCACATCACTTCCAAACTTATCTTCATCGGGCATCTCCAGCATCGCATCTAACACAGCTGTTGACACGCAAAAGTGAATAATGGTGATCTCTTTATTGTGCTGCCAAATCCTGAATGGGGAACGAGTGTTTGGGAGAGAAGACTCACATGAGCCCTCAGTGGTTTGAAGTCCTGATTGGCTGCTCATCTGCGAGGAAAGAGGGGAACAGCTTTATCAGATGGAACGCTCTGTGATCTCGTTCATCTCGCCAACTGAACTGAGCTAAAAACTCAAAAATAACCTAGCCGCAGTTCTACGAACTCCGGCGAGGACTCTTGAGAACCAGAGCGTTGTTTGACGGGAGCGCTTTCTCGCTCTCCGTCACTCATGGCGATCGTGCTGAGCTCTCCTCCGCTCCTCTAAAAATACCCAACCGACCTCCTTCATGCGCGAGTGCCTCCGCTTCCTCTCCGTCCGCAGGATCTCCATGTCCTGCTCTGACTCCTCTTCCGCTCTCCGCGTCGCCCCACTCTCGCTCTGGATGGCGATGGAGGCCCGCTGTTTCCATAGCGACAGGAGGCTGGGGTGGACGAGAGCTGCGGAGGTGGGGTGGGGTCAGAGGATAATCTGTGTTCTTTACTACAGTGGGTAGATTGGCAGACGACGTGACAGAAAGCTATTTTTACAGGTTTGAATTTTTCAGTTTGTTTTTTTTTATGAGTTTTCTGATTTGTTCTTAGATTAAAAAACGTTTTTTTTAAATCAACCTGCAAAATTTTAGTTCTGTGCATGAAGAGCTAGGTTAGTGTTGTAGCCACTTCAACACTAACCTAGTTGTTCAAATGAATCTAGGCCAAATCTAGGGAAGCTACTCACATGCAAATCAATTATTCCACCTGTTACTGCCGCAGGCGTTTGTTCGGCCTTTTTTAAGAGCAGATATTGAGACTCGCCAGTGCAGAAAATGGGCTAAGAGATATTCTGTTCCACTTTTATGAAAGGACAAAATCTATCAAGGGAGAAAAAAACTGGCCCTGTCCAAACTGGGTTTAGCACCAACAACAACCATCAAACTTTTTTTTTTTATTTTTTTTTATCATGTTTGCTGGTTAAAAACATATTCTGTAACAAGATTTATTGATCTATTCTGAATGGAGCGAGGGGCCGGCTCTTGTTACTGACATCCACAGGGGGCGCTGAAGAGCTGAGCAGGAGAGGCCCTCTTGGTCAGCGCGGGGACGTCCAGCAACACCTCCGTCTGACAGAAAGAATAATTTATTACCTACATGGTACTGAGATGAATGCTGCAGAACGTGACTTCTTTTTTCTTTTTTCTAGCTTGAGAGTTGGAAGTAAATCATGACTCCTCAAAGGAATTTAATCAGCAGAAGAAGAAGAAGGATGAAACAGAATCAATGAGCTCTACTCCAGAAGGGTTTCGAGGCAAAGGGAAGAAACAGAAAGCTGTAGTTTAATTAAGAGAAACTAGTGAAATCCACACTTTGGAAAGCAGGACTCTGATTACAGTGAAGCAGCGACAGAAAATTCAATGAGTGCGTGAACATCTCCTAAGAGAGATTGTTGTTTATGCATGCAGCTCCTGGTTCCTACAAATACTTTCACAGACTCAGACTTCTAGATAATAAGAAAATATTTACTTAGTTGGGTTTAATTATCTTTATGTGCCACAAATCATGAAACGTCACAATCATGGCTCCTGTTGTGGCAGAGTAGCAAACTTTACAGCATTTTTCCGGCATCCAGATCAACTTAATTTGTCTCTAAAAATGTTCAGTACTCAGACCTGTCCAATCTGGACTGAATAATTTTACACCAAATAAAGGATGCTTAAAGATGCCCAAAGCTCTTTCTCTTTACCAGAATATCTTTTTAAATTGAGCTAGTGGAGTAAATAAAATATTAATGTATTTGTTATGTACCATATTTAGAGTTTCGATCAGTGGATCTTCAATCTGCTGCTGTATTTCTTTGTCAGGGATCTGGACCTCAGGGTCCACAAAGACCAGCTGGCGCCTGCGTCTCCCGCCGTGCGTCCTCAGAGGATGGCCCACCGCCTGGCGGCAGAGCAAACGACACGCTCAGAGAACCAGTGGCATTACAGCACAGCAGTACATGTTGACATGCTCTAACATGCTGTCAATTGTTCCCTTAAAAACAAAACAACAGATTCTGTACATGTGTCTCTGACCTCGTCACAGAGGCTCTCTGTAGCTCTGTCCCCTTCGCTCTCCGGTGGCATCGCTATGTGCTCAGGGGTCACTTCAGAGGCCACGGCTGCCAGAGGAACCTCCACAGGCTCCCCGGTCTCCTCGTCCAGCAGCCACATGACGTCCTGCTCTGTCCCCAGCATCGTGTCCTTCAGCCTGGGCGCAGGAACGCACACGTGACCAACAGGCGACGTCTCGTGCGGACAGCCTTTATAGTTCAGTTTTAAAAGTTTCCAGGCTCACTGGACGCCGAAGGATGAGACTGCTTGGTCCCCAGTCCTATCTTTAGTCTCCTCATCTTCTGTTTAGCACATATTTACAAGAACAAGATAACATAAAAATTAAACGAATAAATACAGGTTAGAGTTTAAGATTTTACAGTTAAGTTTTCATGACCGTGCTGCAGAAAGAGCGCTCTGATAGCAACCAGATGTTCTTAGATGTTTAAAGATGCAGACACAAAAACACAGGTAAGATCAGGCTTTTGTAGGTGCTGCCACCATTAGGTGGATCACAGTACTGCAACCTCCTGCTGCAGAATGCACATTTATGTTACTTAAGAAATGATTCAGACAAGATTTGGAAAACATCGTCAGGCTTTCTGCAGACTTTTAAGAATTTTTGAAGACCACTATGAATGAATTCATTTCCAGCCAAATTTGTATGCAGGTAAGGGAAAAGTGCAGTAGCCTTTTTTTTCCCCAAACCAGCTGAAAGTGGGGAAGAAAACTCAATGTCTGGCATTGCATTAAAAAGAACATAACCTGTAGGAAAGCTAATGGGAGATTTTAGCTCCATTAACACCTCAATGCAGGTAGCAAAGCTTTACATAATAAACTGCAATTTAAAATTGAACTAGACTTTTTTTCAGCCAGGATAAAGAAGATCAGTTCTGAAAATGCTGTATGTATCTACATAAAAAATAGTATAACTATGACTGAGGAAGAATAAAAACACAAACATAAGGAAATGAACAAGGCCAACCAGCTGCCGTAGCAGAGGGTCAACTCAATTTTCTAGGCAACATGTTGCGTCTTTCTGTTTGGCAACACCTGTTCCAAAAGCAGGTCAGGCTATTCTGAGTTCGGCCTTTTGTAGACTCCCCTCACATGGATTAAGATCTACTGATTTTTATTTATTTTAATTAGTGGGACACAAACCCAGAAACACCAAGAAATAATATTCAACAGCAGCAGCTTCCACGAAGCATGTAAAAGCTCTGTGACTAAAAGAGCGATGAGAGACAGAGACTCGCCTCTCCTGAAGTGATCGGGCTGATCCATCAGCAACTGAATGTCTCTGGCTGTGGCTTCAGGAAGCTCAGCGCCGTTAAAATCCTGCCTCAGAGGAAAACAAAGAAAAACAATGACTACACAAGGACGGGAAAAAAAAAAGTGAGGAAATTATGAGAAACATGCAACCAGAGAAAAGCTAGCGGTAGATTAGATGTATCACGTTGTGTTGCCCGTGGGGCAAAGATAACGCTTTAGGACAGGCAGGCGGGAGCCGGAAGAGCAGAAACGTGAACAACATGTCTGTTTGAGTGCAGCCTGATTTAATTAAGTCAGATCTCATCGAGGCAAAATGGACTTCATCGGCCGAGGATGCTTGAGGAGGAACATTATCTGTCTGTGAGTGACAGAATGAGGAGGCAGCGCGGAGGTACCGCTGCAGTCTGTTAATCAAAGCACAAGGACCTGCCTGCGATTAAAACACTGCAGAGAGGTCGACTAACACGCCATAAGGTTTAGTTACAGTTTGCCAACAATTTCACTGCATGGCATGCACATAAAATGAATTGCTATGCTCTGGACTGAGCGAAGCCAGGTTTCAAGGCCGGAGGGGATGGCAAAGCGAACATCTGTGCGTGCGACAAAGACGTTAAAACACGGTTCCTGCAGGTTCTGTTGACTCAAATTTAAGACTTTTTAAGACTATTATGAATGAGATTTAAGACATGTAAAGTAAGAAATCTACAAATATAAATATATATGTTTATTTTGTAAAAATAAATATACATATATGGAAAAAAAAAAAGAGGACTAGCTAGCTAGCAAAGGAATATTAGCAGCTAATTAGCGGTAGCTGCAACCACTTCATATCACAGAGCGCAATGAAAACACCTGCCTGACAGAAAAGTCCCATGAAACAAAAAAAAAACAAAAAACAACTAGTCCTGCCACAAAATGTAACATTTAAGGCCAAAATAATAAAAAAAAAATAATAATTTGTTTAAGACATTTAAAGGGCTTAATTTTAGACACGTAAATTTCAGACTTTTTAAGGATGAACAGACACCCTGTAAATAGACACACACACACACACACACACACACCCCGGCTCGATAATTCATCGGGACGTGTGCTGTCTCTAAAAATGATGACTGAGGTTGTTCCTGAAGCTGAACCCTGACAGAGAGTTTACCTCAGCAGTGTTGATGACAAACTGCTCCTTCTCTGTTAGTGTGATGGCAGCCAGAGGCAAAATGAAACCTGCTTCAGGGGGAGACGAAGCAAAGCTGTCAGACAGGAAGATGTTACAACTTTAAAAAAATATGTAAATTGTATCTTATCGAAAGCATACCCTGTGCGCTACAAATTAAAATCGTCTTTCGTTGCAGTAGCATAATGTCATAATGTAAAAAAAAAAAAAAAAAGAATAGAAAAGCCAAAAAAAAAAATAATTAAAAATTCAGATTTTATTACTTTAAGCAAAAACTTTGTCCATTAAAACAGCACTAAATCTTTACCAATATCTGTTAGGGTTGGAACATCAAAGGGGGGGATCTTGGACGAAACGTTTCATTTTCTCTCGAGCCGTTTCTGCACTGATTTCCTCATATTTTAGAACATTATAATGTTGAAAGACTCAATTAAATCCAATTTTTAGCTTACAAGCAGGAGCCACCAGGATTTATTGGATATTTCCTGGCATTTCATTGTTTTTCTGTGATGCCAGGACCTCAATGTTAGGATGTGTTTACACTTGATAGTCCAGTAGACTATCAAGTGTTCCTGTTTCTATTTGGGACCAAAATTGCAACATTTGCTACATTTTCAGCTGGGGCGGATTGCTTTCATGCTGCCTTGTGTCAGACGAACAAAAACCTTTGAAAAACTTGTTCCACCCCCTCGCCTGAGGTGGCGCTGCACCAACAACAACTGAAGGAAACGACACAAAAACCTCTGATGAAGACATGAGAGCACAACTTCACTAATTCAACCTTTAGTTCACCAAAAGTGAGTTTGAAGATGTTTTTTTTTTTTTTTTTACTTCCCTTATCTTCTTTTCTGATCATATTTACACACAAGAGAATCAGGAAGTCATTTTTATTTCCATACATCAGGAAATAAAGGCAAAAGCAGTTGTATCTTTATGATTACTGTAGTTATTTTTTGCTTTTTCCTGCTAAATATGCTAACTATCACTCAGATGCTGGTCTCAAATGAAGATACTGACATCTTTGTGACTTCCTGTTTCTAATCTATCACTGGCAACAGAGTTATGGGGAACATTTTTTTTAAATAAGCAAAAGATAGCTCAATAAAAACTCACCTTTATTGTCTGGTTTGTTGGTGGGGCTGGACACCACAGAGTGCTGCGAAACCAAATCCTCAATCGCAAACTCAGTCTACAAGAACATGTAAAATAAATTTTTTTAAAAATGAAAAAACTGTGTGTGACAAATGAAAATCAGTTTGTTTTGGAGCTGTGTAGAAAAGCTGTGTGTTTGCGGCCATTTTAAGCATAAGGTTAGTGTTAAAAAGGGAGGGAAGGAAAACATTTTTCTAGGTGTTATGAATGACTAATATCTAACAATTATGGGTTTTAACATTGGAAACTAAAATCGTGGCTGTAATAATTATCCAATCAATCACCATCATTTGCTCTGAACGCAGCAGTCTGGGTCAAAACACGTCAGGAAACCAGAACCGGATGTCTGGATTTGCTTAGGATATTATCAGTTAACTTATCAGTCTGAGAGCAAATTTTAAGATTTGAATCAAGTTTGCTTTAAATTAAGGACAGCTCATGTCTTTGAGGCACTGCGCATCATCTGTATGTTGCACAACAACTGAATTCATGCCTGTTTTTCTGGGACGATTACAGCAAAAGGTCAAAGTTCAAATGTTTCTGCCAAAGTGATTTGCTTAACTAAGGACTTTCTGGTTCAATAAAACGATGGCTCAGGGGATAAACGCCACTGTGACATGGAATAACAGTGCAGAGACGTGACAAATTAACAAGATTCTATTTGCATTATTTTAATGTATTAACTTTATAAAGATGTTGATCCAACTGTCTGCATTTCAGCTTCATATTTGGACTTAGAAACAGTCACTAAAAGGAGGAGGGTTTCTACATTTCCATTTCAAGATTCTGGTATTTTTTCCACTCAATAGAACAAAATACCTTCATGCAAATAAACAAATAATTAATTTCCTTTTTTAAGATAAGAAAATCAATATTTTATTGCCTAAAATGCAACAACATTGCATTATTTTAGTTCTTTTAGTGAGTTTGAACCAGATGACTTGTGGAGTTTTGGTTAAAACAAATATTTACAGACAGATTTATTTTCTTTTTATTTTATCTTAAATCAGTTTGGCCTAAGTTAGTGCTCTGAATACATATATTTTTTTGAGTCTGTATTAACGATTAACCAACTATTATTAGTTGATGACTATTTCAATAATCGATTAATCTGATTAATCATTTCAGGCCTAAAATACACGCCAGTGAGTTCTACTTACTAACAAGGCCTCACTTTGATTTTATTTAAGTGTATCAAAGTAAAGAGGGGTGAATACAAATGAACGCCACACTTTTCAGATTTTTAAAAACCAAGCTTCCTTATCCTCTCACCTCCCAACTATCTTATAATCGTTAAGCATCAAGTCCCATTAAAACACGTAAAAGTTTGAGGTTCATGGAGTGAAAAAAAAATTGTGTTAAAGTTCAAGGGCGTGAATTCAGAAGGCTCTGCAAATATGACCAACGCTGCTCCTGACACATTGCTATCACCTCCGTCCAACCTGCCAATATTTACACACCAAATATTTGACATGAGGAGCAGCTCACTGTGCTGGCAGATGTCCGTCTGTTTTATGTGCCGCGCTACAGCAAGAGCCAACAGAAGCCACAACAACAACAACAACACGAAGCGCCGACGGTGTGTGTGCGCGCTGACCGTACCGGGACTATTTTGTAGGGGCTGGGCAGCTGGTGGGACGCCATCAGACCAAAGAAGGGGTCCAGAGCTCCCTCAGCCTCCTCCATCATGCTGAGGCCGTCGGGAACATTCAGAGCCATCCTGCAAGACGGAGAGGAGCCGCTTTTAACTTCGGATCCGCGAGACGCTAACGCACCTGTGGTGTTAGATTTACCTGCAGAACATTTGGGGAAATAAAAAAAAAAAAAAAAAAAGGACGCGCTACAACATGAAGGATCTCATGCTGCCTCACTTCCATATCGTGACTTATAAAATATTAATGAAGCACCCTGCATGACGAGCTCAGTTCATCCATCAACACGTCAGTAAAGCAAACATATTCTCATTTCTACAGTCTACTCTTCACGCCCTCTAACAGCAGAGCTTCACCAACTAAAAATCAAGACATTTTAAGACCGGTAAGAGTGAAATTTAAGGCCTGTATCACAACAGGAAAGTACGAAAGAAAATTGGATATTTTCTACAGTAATGGTGCCAAGATTTTTTTTTTTTAACAGAATGAAAGTAACACAGTGCGGGTTGGTAACAGAAGTGCTAGCTAGCAAGGGTATGTTAACAGCTAGTTAGCAATGAAAATGTGTGATGCGACTCGAACGTTTGCTTTACAGAAAAGTCCCATAAGAAAAATAAACTACATACAATGTACAAGACAAAGTAGTCCATCAAGACAAAATGTAAGATCTGTGATTAATGTATTTGAGGCACTTACATCTTTTTGTAATTAATTTAAGACAATATAAGGCCTTAATTTTATATTGATGAATTTTAAACATTTTAAGGTCGCACAGACACCCCGAGTCTCTTCTCACGGCTCGCTGTGAGGGTGTTCACCTGTCGGATTCAGCCAGGTCGATCTGGACGCGTCTTTTAAAGCGGAGCCAGCGGTCGATAGTCTGTTGGACCTCCTCTGAAAGGAAAGAAAAAAAAAGAAAAACACACAAAGAGAGGTTACAAGTTTTCTCACGTGCACAGCTTGAAACGGCTGTGAAGTGGTGGTTTTAGTGGTGAGGATTCAGGCGCGGTCAGACCCGGGTTGAAGTGCAAAACGATGGTTTTAATGACGATCACAAAGTGTACAGAAGGAAAGAAAACAAAATAACTCAGTCAAATAACAATACGGTCAGGGAGGGGCACGGGGATGATCAGGGGAAACGAGAGACAGCTGGGAACAATCAAGAGGCAGATATGACGACTGAGACTCAATAAACACAAAAACCCAAATCCCTCACAGAAACGGCTGGCAGACGTAACGACTCCCACAATCACAGCGATCCATACTACAAAGCCTTCGGATGATGCTGGTCTGTCACAGTTTTGATCGAACTGAGAGAGCAGCGTGGGTTGCATGTTTCTTGGATGTGGGATTGGTGTCAGTAAATCGAGACCCATCCTGCTCTCATCAGCACCATATTGGTTTGCGCATCCCGCTACATCAGGGTGAGTCAGGAGGCGAGATGTGTGAGAGCAGGGCTGTTTGTGTTTCACACCGACAGAGCATTCCTGTGATTAACAGCAAAAGATGCTTTTGGCAGAAAACGTGAGAAGTGCCGGCGCCAAAATTTGCTGGAATACTCCTTTTTCTTTTATCTCACCGAGCAAAAAGGCGCACTGCTTGTGGTAGATGATGACCACGCCGTACTGCAGCTGAGACGACAGGTAGAGGGAAAAGCGAGGCCTGGACTGGTCGGGCTCCAGAGCAGGAACTTGTCCCGTCACATAGTCCAAGATATCGTTGCTGCAAGGGATGAACAAAAAGTAGTCAGAAATACAAAAAGTACATCTACATCCAAAACAGTAGAATATTCTCTTCAATATATTTTGCAGGGATTTTACGTCATAGACCAACACAAAATATCAGTAAAGGTTAACTGGTGAATATGTAGACAAGAAGTTTCAGTCATGGAAAAGTAGCCACAAGAAGCATAGACATTTTGGAGGAAGGTCAGATGAAACGATCTACAAGCAAAAACGCTACCAGTGAAGAAAAACTAACGACGCACGTCATCCCGAAGACAAAATCCTGACTGAGATATGTTGTGGTGCCGGCATTATGCTGTCGTAATGATTTTCCTTCAGCTGGGGCGGGCGAAGCTGGTCAGAGCCGACAGGAAGATGGATGGAGCTAAATATGGAAAACCTCTTAGAGGCTGCAAAAGACTTGAGACTGACGAAGGTTCACCTTCCGGCCGGACAACTCAACGCATCCATGTCTGAGCAACAGTCGAATTAGTTAAATCAAAGCACATCACAAGAAGAAGAAGTAGGAAATTTCATCCGGACCAGAATCGAGTTTTTTTTTTGCAGAGAGGAATGGACAAAATGGTCAGTTTCTAGATTTGCTAAGCTGGTGAAGACATACCAAGAAAGACATGCCGCACTTTTTAGATTACGTTCTTTTCCACAATTTTTTTTCCTAAAATATAAAGCTTTTTTGCTTTTAAAATGAGATGTTATTACGTTATTATGTTTCATTACAAAAATATAACTAATATAAAACCAATAGTTAATAGTCTAAAGCTAGAGCAACAAATATGGGGCACTAATTTCACTCTTACCATGTCCGCTTTACGTTGACCCTGAGGAACTCCCTGCGAGTGACCCGGATACCTCCGGTGGCTGCTAGCCTGAATAGCAAAAACAACACAATACAACCTAAATATAATGTTCATCTAAAATATAATATTTTAGATTCATCATTAGCTAGCTCAGAAGCTATATGCATTTCGTTGAGGAAATTATTGGTTATCTGCTGTTAGTTCCCTTTATTTTTCCATCACAAGCTAATAATATGAAATAACTCAGCGTTGTTGAACTTACCAAATTGTGGAAAAACATCCAGTATGGCGTTGGAGAACATTTGGGTAGTAAAACATGTTGTAAGACGATTACTTTTCAACTAAAAACAATCCCCGAAGTTAGTAAACTTCACCTCCAGAGGACAACTTTCAGGAGCGACGTGTTAATTCGCGCTGACACTTTCCCGCGTCAAGATCAGTACCGACCAATCAGCTCTCAGGAAGGAACTCGAACTCGGTTTGAAAGTAAACAATCGTGGTGCGTTCAGGACCATGCATATTAAGTAAGAATAAAATTTATGTGAAATAACAGGACCAGTCATTTAAACATTTTTAAGAGAAGTCGTTGGTACGGGCAATGTGATGTTGGTAAAACCACATTCAACATTTTCATTTGTTTTCTACACATCTGTTTATTACAATGATTCCGAATGTCGTCAGACCAGAACATCCGTTTCAATGGTTTTGAGAAAACTCAAACTTTTCCAGGATGTGATCCCCAATTTACCTCAAAGAATTTTTCCTCATTTTGTTTCTTTGTTGTTATATTTAACAAAAGACAAAAATAAATAAATTATGTTCTCAGCAAATATATAAATACATAACCCAAAAATTGGTGGCTTTCAATTAAATTCTCTCCTTTTATAAAGTCCCAATTCATGACAAATGTCATCTCAAGGCACATTATAAGACAAACAGGACTAAATATTTTTCCAGAAATAGATTTGTATAGTAAATTAAATAAAATCCAATCATGTACAATTCTGTAAAAAAAAAAAAGTGGTGTAAAGCCAGCAAAATGCTTTCTTACATCATTCCAAACAGATTCAAATTATATTTTGTACACTTGAAAACTAGTTTAAAACAGTTCAGTCAAACATTATATCATGAATTTTGTTTGGATTTACTCTCAAATTATAATTTTTGCACTTTGTTTTAGGAAGAGAATTGTTTTGTTGTTCTATTGTTTCTGTTTATCGTGATAATATATTATTAGAGCATTTTGTAGGCACATTTAACAAAACAATTTAAAGGAAAAACCTCAAAAACACCTGAAAGTCAGAAGTTTGGTTTTATATCAGATCTAAATAATAAATAAAAAGTATCGGTATCTGCTTCATTGTTAGTAATACTGGCTTTATTTTTACTTAGTATTAGATTGATACCAAAATATGTAGTAAGTATCACACGCCTCTACTTTAAGTGTTTCACAAAATCCTTCATTAACTTTATTCAAAATGGAAATATTGGTTCACAGCGTTTATGGTTGCTATTTTTAAGTTGAAAGAGAAGGGCGGAGTGACGTCACCCCGTATGGGCAGCGGTGAATGATTGGCCACGCCCCTGTGCGGGAGTGGGCAGCCACTTTGAGCTCTGCTGCTGAAGTCTGATTGAAGCGGCTGAGAAGAAGAGAAACTACAGCAGAGGGAAGCGCACAGTCTGTACTTGGCCTGCTGTGGTTTGTAGTTTTTTTGTTGTTGTGACAGAGCTTTCTTATTAAGATGGCGTATCACAGCCCCTACAGAGCCCCCCCGCATATCAACGCTCCTCCGGACCAGAGCTTCCTGTGGAATATCTTCCAGAGGTGAGTGCGGAGACACGGCTAGTTCCGCCGCCTGTCTCTCTCTCTCTCTCACTCCGCTCCGCAGTGAGCACTCGCTGCTGTCGTAAGAGGAGGGAAGAGGAAGAGAGGCGGACTGGGTGGTGGTTCCGCCAAATTATTTCAGTGACGGTGCGTTTTTTTTTGTGTCTGTGTGTCTTTTTTCTCCGGTCGTTTCTGCTGCTTTTGGTTCATAGTAAATGCCCTCGGGAAAATTCGTGACCCAGCGGAGGAAATACTACGGCAGTGTGCCTTTTCATGAGCTGCATAGCCTGTGGCTGTGACTCGTCACTCAGCTGATCACAGTACAGAAGGCTTTAAGTGCCACAACTGTTTAATACTAAACTTACAATCAGCTGGTTTCAGAAGAAGGAGTTCTAAAACCGGGGCTTGAAGGACCTCCAGGAGTCCTTGAAGGCATCTCCCCAACGACATCCCCCCGGGTCTTATCTGGCAACTTTATTCATACTGACGTACCTGATAAATACTATTGAGAGAGAAAAAAAAAAAAATCGGTACTAATTTCTAAGGGGCATGTGTAAATCCCTGTGTTGCATGTGGTGTACGTATGAGAACATTAGAGAGAGGCTGCTGACGAGGCTCTTGATGGTCATGAGGCTGAAATGTGTGTCAGCAGCTGTGGCAGTCATAGTAGCAGGCAATCAGGGACATGTTGATTTGGTTTGGCCCCTGGTAATAATTGAAGTTATGTAATACTGCAGAGGATTTGCTTTCAACACTACTGAAACGCTGCAGGCATTTTTTGGGGGGTGGGGGTTTGAACCAGCCTTTGCAAATTATTCATGTGTGGAGCAGAACTTCAGAATAACGCAGTGTGAGGTATGCATAGGTTTCCTCCTGGAAAGTCTGCAGCGTGAATTTAGTGTTTTCCAGAGCGGGATAAGTTGTTTTCCCCAAACTTATTGAGTAAGTAATCCATCCACCCCACGATTTTCTTACAGTTTGTATTTATTCAGGCTTCAGATTAAAATTCCTGACCTCTGCAGAAACATCTGCTAAGGATTCTGGGTAAATCTTTGTATTTACTCATTATAAATATCAATAAATGGATGCAGAACTTTGGAATTCTGAGCTTTCATTGAGGACTATTGAATTTTTGTCCAAAACCCAGTTTTTTAGGTTTGTTGTCACAGAAACAGGACTTCTAAAGATGGCTTAATTGTGTGTGTGTGTGTGTGTGTGTGTGTGTGTGTGTGTGTGTGTGTGTGTGTGTGTGTGTATATATATATATATATATATATATATATATATATATATATATATATTGTTATTTATTTATTTTTTTAAAAAGGCATAACGAGAGTAAATGTCAAACACAAACCGTGTGACAGTCATGAGTGCATTCAGTCCTGTCTCCCACATGCTCAGCCTCATCTGCAGGTCAATATCTGGCTGAGCTGCGCTGGAATTCCCTGTCATGTGATCGGAGTCGTTAGAGCGGCGTTGAGCCATGGGAGTGGGAGGCTTCCCGGTCTGTGTGTCAAATAAACACACAGACCTATCAATAAGTCACTGTTTTTTTTTTTTTTTTCCCCCCACACACTATATTTCACTTTTTATTCTATTTGGTGTCATGACTGGACATGGATTGGTTACCACTATCGAGGTATTTTAAGGATTTCCACATTTCTACTCCTACTTTTTAAATGACTTTAAATAAGTCAGCTCTAAATTCATCTGAAAATATTTCTGGTTGGGGAATTTCCATTCTGCCTCTCACCCACCTGTTGCTGTGTACTGCTGGGCAGCTGGCTGAAAGACTAAAAAGACAGCATTTCAGTCAGTCAGTAGCTGCGTTTCCATTACAAATGTGCGAAAAGCTTTTTGGATGTTCTGCTCCTGTGTAGGGAAAACACATTTTTTTTAAAATTGCGGTGTTAAGGAATGGAATCAAAATAGCACGTGAATGAGTTTGTCATTGCGATGAGTCATTAAAAGTCATGGCGGTGACATGAGATACATTCAAATTTCATCCATGGGACTGGCGCTCATCATCAGCCATCAGATTTCTATTCTAATAGTAATGGTAACTTAGAGTATGTAACATGTTTAATACAGGTATTATAGGAATATCTAGAACTTCTGTTTATTATTTTGAGCTTCATACAAGTTTCTTTTTAATGCTCCATGAAGTAATACTGTGTGAGTCATGTTTCTATTTTTTTCTGCTTTGATGACAGAATGGCAAAAATGTCTCCGAGTGGCCTTTCATTGAAATCAACAACACAGATTTGTTGCTGTGCAGGAATAAGAATGCCGATCATGTACAGTGGCTATTATCTAAGAACCAGAAGAAAGTGTTCTTGTCAGTGCAGTAGAAGTTGGGGAGTTTGGGAGCTTTTTGTTCCCCACCAGTGACTTCACCCTCTCTCTTTCTTTCTTTATTTCTTTGGCGTTTTCATGTGGAAAGCAGAAAGGGCGTTGCTCCTCAGACATGTTGCCTAATAGGAAAAAGTGAAACAGGGGAAAAGGAAAAAAAAATCTGAGCAGTTCTCATTGACTCAGTTTTGTGTTTTTGTGTTGTTCCGGTTTGGTTTGTTAGATTCAGGTTTTGCGCTTGACGGCAGCGGGGATGGAAACTCCAGATGGTGCCTGTTCTGCGGGGGAAGAGGGAGATTTAATGATGCTTTTCAATTCGCTCCTTCCCTGACTTGCGAGGTCACTTTGCCTGAGGCAGAATGAGCTGCCGAGATTGGGAGGTGGGGGAGAAAACACACCGAACGTGACACACAAACACACACACACACACGCTTCTTTGAGTAGATCAGTGTTCAGGAGAGGATGGGCGCCTCCTCTGCTGGCGCCGACCCAACCGATCTTTACCTTTACTGTGACAAAACTTTCATTTACTCTGACCTGCAGAGATGGTTTTTAAAAAAAATAAAAATAATAATAATTCTGATTCCACCAAGCTGACGGAGCAGGTTTGTGTTTGTTTTCCTAATTCAAGAGGTCGGGACTGCACACAAACGTATACGTGTGAAAGAAGGCCACGTAGGCTTCAGAAATATTATATACCGCAGCTGGGAGCAGAAACCTCAGCCCAAGCAGTCGGTGGTGGGCCGGTCCTGTGAGAGTGTGCTCGAGTGTGTGAGCACTGAAGGGTTTTCCCGTCTTCTCCCCCTCGCTGCTCCTCTCTGCTGGTATGTTTGCCGAGGGAGCGCTGCGTCAACAGGTCCAGGTTGCTAAGGAACGACTGAGTCACTGGATGTTTGACTAAACTCGATTAAAAGTGTCAGGCCATCGTATGTGTCATTATCCACACTCATGACTCTGAGTCTCGGAGGAAGACTCCCGAGTCGCAAAGTATTAAGTAGCAGTTTCTTAAGCCTTCTAAGAAAGCAACACCGCTCCTGATGTGAATTTCCCCCATTTTCCGCCTGTGATTTCTGTTCTTCAGCAGTAAGTGTAAAGTATACATCTACCAATGCAAACAAACTCAGAAAACCTGTGCTTCGAGCTATGGCCCTTCTATGGCAGTACTTGTCTTAAATAATGCTGAAAAACCTGTTGAGTAAGAGTCTCTTCACTGAAACTTATATACATTGGGGGTTGCAGACATCATATTGCATTCTGCCTGTACGTTTCTCAACCATAACCTTAGGTCTACCAATGGTTGACATCATCACCATCTTTAAGTGGCAAGGCATAAAGCTCTAAGTGTAAGGGTTGGTTTAGTCTACCATTAGCTTTTCTCCTGAGCTGCTAAGCTAACCACATTCTTCCATGTTGCTGAAGTGGTTTTATTTGCTTCACCTTGTCTTTCCAGTTATTGAACTAATTAGCAGCTCCATTTTTGCCATTCCTTAGATAATATATGGAAGTAAAGGAACATGTTTCACTTCAATAGTTCCAAAAGGACACTGACAAAATGTGAATGTATTCCTTTTACTTTGGTTTTTGCACTTCTTGTGACAGATTTACAAGTTCACAGTTTGAGTCTTAAGTGATTTGTTCTTCCATCCATCCAATCAAATAGCTGCAGGTTAGATTCCAGGTTGCCATTACCGGATTGATCTAATTGTGCACAAATTGAGTATGACTTGACAATCACTCATAAGTCCAGTCCATCCACAGCTTTATAAATGTCTACTATAAATCCATACTACAATTTGTATTTGTTTGTTTTTTTACAGCAACAAAAATGCACTGAGAACTTGACAAAAAATGTGAAGAAAACCTTTAAAAAACCCAACTCACTGTTATTTTTAATAAAAGTTCATCTATGCACTCCTCTGTCCGCTTTCACTTTTGATTTTGTTGTTGCATATAAAATCAACCTGACTGTCTGAGATTTTTAAAATCTGACTCTGCCAGTTGCACCAGACGTCAGCCGTCTGCAGTGAAGCAAGTCAGCATTCTTTCTCACTCTGCTTTCCAAGATTACTGGAAGCCAGTCTCTCCCTGACAAGCTTTCTAGTTTGTCCTGATCATAGAAGTCCATTCACTCCTGCGGGCTGCTGAAACACTGGCACGCGCTTAGTGTGATCAGATTTCCACAGGCAGGTGCCGATGTCGGCTGCTGTTGTGTCTTCTTTTGTCTGTGGGTGTGAAGAGGGTAAAGTAAACGGGGCTAATCTGTGGATTTTTCTCTTTTTCTTTTCTTTCAAGGGTTGACAAAGACCGGAGTGGAGTGATCTCCGACTCCGAGCTTCAGCAGGCCCTGTCCAATGGTACGTATTGATGTGCTGTCGACGTGTCACTCCCCGTTTCGTTCCTGAAATCTCTGTCGCCGTTTACGTGAATGCGGCTGACGAGCTGTAGGGACAAGAAGGGAACGGGATTGGTATTTTTATCCCTGGGTTGGAGGTGTTGATTTATTTTTATCCCTGTATAGAAGACAAGGGGATGAAAGCTTCCAAAGGAAACACTTCAATTGTTCTTGAAATATCAGAAACTCTGGGAATAAAACTTAGAATAAAACAGATTAGGTAGTGGCCACTGAAATCTTTTACAGTGGAATATGAAGTCAGAAGCATGAGTATTTTTTTAATGATCATAAATGGCAAACCAAATGTGTTTCCCAATTTTATGATCTACCTTAATTCCCAAGCCATTGGCAGTCCAACATATGATTGTTACGTTTGCTTTTGTTGATAAAGTAGATATTCTCATGACTAATATCCCCATTTTGTTGATTTGGGTTTCCCTTGAGGATCATTGTCCTGATTCATTAGCCCAACTAGACCTGAGCTTAATGTTAATCTGCTGTCTTGTTTGGTAGAGAACAGATAAATATTACAAGTTCTGGAGCAGCTCCAGATGATGTTTCTACCACCAACTGTGTTTACATTACATGATGGTTAGCTTGACAAAAAAAAAATGAACCCAACAGAGACGAGAAACTTGTATAATCTTTAAAATGAACTCAGTATGTTCTCTGTTAAAAAATATGTGTTGTATTTTAAATGTATAACCTTTCAGGCTGCGGTGCTCAAAGGGCAGCGGTGTAACACTTCTCCAGTTTAAAAGAAGATGGAAGTAATCAGTGAGGTGATCAGAGCTGCTAATGATGGAGGGTCAGTCTCTCTTCAGGACTTGAGATTTTAAGCACCACACAGCAGGTTTCGCTGCTCCTCCTTTCTTAGAAGCAAAGTTGAACGACGGATAAATCTTGGCAAATAAACGGACTTTGTTTCGCTTCGTCTGAGAATAGGGGCTTGACCAGCGCATACTGGAAAACTGCCTGTTTTCATACCACACATCACTGCTCCATACCTCCTCTTGACCTTGGTTTGAATGAGATTGCAGGAGGGAAATGCTGTAAACTTTAGAGTATCATTTATCCAGAAGCCCTTACTTTGTTTCATCAGTACTTTTGTTTCTTAAGAAGTTTATATCTGAATTTTGAAAGATTGTTGAACACATTCCCCTTGGGGACAAAAAGCTTTAAGAGCCCAACATCCCTTTATTTATTTATTTATTTTTTTGAGTCTTGAATCCAGAAGCAGCAGTGAAAGAACGTTTTATCAGACTGCGCAGTGGCTCTTGCTCAGCATACTGATTAGTGTTTGAGTGTGCGTTTGTGCATGAATGCACAGGCTGGTGTTATTTATCAAGAAGATATTCGTGTTTTCCTTTTGCCGAGGTTCAGGTCCCCCCCCTCCCACCCCCTCCATTTGGGCACTCGGCACTGTCTGTGTGCGTGTCAGTGCTGTGAGTACCGAGCGTGCACCTTGCAGGGTGAACGGCAGGCTTCCCGGCCCAGACTCCTCTGCCAGTTCATTACTTTCGTTGTGACATGAAACGGAGCCAACGAAGCCGAACACACGCTGCGCTGCATCCCGTCCTGCAGAGCTCTCGCTAAAGCCACTGACACTGTAAAAGGGCAGGGCCGTTTGTTGTGGCTCTGTAAAAGCTGTTCAGTGGTTTTTATGTACCAATTAAACTTTGTAGTATTCATCTTTTTCTAAAATTGCTTCTTTATGTGAAGCCATTCAGTCTGGAGAACCTTTTTCTGACCCTTTCGACGTCGAATGTGTGTTATGAACCACATTAGCTTAGCATTCTCCTAAAGATTGTTTGTGTCAACTGCTAATAAGTAGCATCTCTCTTTGCTCTACCTCCTCCCTTCCCTTCCTCAGTCCAGGTTGTGACAGAATGGCCTACATATTGTATCTGCAATTGTCGCATTAAAACATATATGTTATGCAATTTAGTTTTTATTATCATCTCCCCGCTGACTTGCCTTTGCGCAGCGGAGAGCAGATATGCAATCAGATTTACTGTCCTCTTTACTGTAACTGTGTAGAAACAGCAGTGTGGTAAAACTGCTGACGGGCAGAGCTGGCCGAGCGGCACAGCTTGAGGAGCTTATTCAGCAGTCTTCACATTTACACTCGCACATTAGCAGCGGTTTGTAAGATCTGATGTGCTTTTGAGTCAGTTTGACTGAAGAATAGGAAGCCAGTCAGAGTTGGACTCAGTCACTTCTTTAGCCGACGACACGAGGCACCAGGGTTGTTACGGGTGTCCTGCAATCATGACTGTCATAAGCCACAGATGTTGACCGCTGCTGCCGTAGCGTGACTCGGATTCAGAAGGAACCGACTTGTTGTTAAACATGCAGACACCATGCGGTGCCGCTTGCCCGCTTCGGAGTTTTAGAATCAGTCGAGCGTACAGGGTAGCAGGGCGGTAGCCAAGAGTTGAACAATTGCGTGTGAACCCTTAAGCCTTAGTGAAAAAGAGAGCGGCATCGTGCAGTTTGGGGATGTTTTGATGTATTTTTTACTGGTACCAACTTGCCCTCCAGTAACTTACTGTTTAGAGATACAAAGAAAGTCATAAATAAATAAATCTTTGCTATCCAACAAGTAAATAATGTACTGGCACTATGGCGGATGCTGGAATGAAGGCACTGATTGCATTTTGGGAGGAAATTTTCCTTAGCTGATCCATAAGATGGAAACTTAGGAAAAAGCTCCTGATCTGAGTAATTTCAAACAAATAGAGTTGCTATGAAATGCGTCATTAAAGTTAATAAAATCAGTCGCTTGTGTAACACTCTGCATTCCACCACTGTAATGGGCTGAATTAACATTGTTATTGTGAGCAGCTGACCTCTCTGAACAGACAGTGTAGTATCTGCTTTACAGCCACAGACCTTATAACCCCTTCGATTTTGCTCCTGCTGATGTTTTTCATGTGGAGCGACAGCTAGCTTAAGTGCTCAATGGGTTATTTGCTTTTTTTTTCTTTTTTTAAGAGTGCCTTGTTCTGGTATTGGTATTGAAAATTGGTTCGATATCAGACAAGCAAGTGTTGGATTATATTGACCTGCATCTAAAATCTCCAACATAACATAAAAGCAATCTGCTTTTACTGACATTTCTATTCGGCAACGCTTGTATCCCACATGCAGACCCATTGGTTAATAATAGATGGATGAGTTGCTCTCATACGTATTGTTTTTGACTATTGGCCTTTGAGTAATGCCACTTGAACAAGCCTTTTCTAACAATCCACACTAAAAAATAAGTAATAAAAGTGTGTATGATTCATGCTGATATCGTATCGGGTCAATATTGGTATTGGCCAATAGTCAAAGCTACAATATCGGTATCATATTGGAGGTGAAAAAGTTGTATCAGGACACTCCTAATGCTTTTGGAGATTATGCAGTGACTGTTTCAAAACCCTGTAATGAGCGCTCTTCATTTAACAGTTACTTAGCAGTATGGAGTTTGCTCAACAGGCTGATTTGTTACAGGTTTTTGTTTACCTGTCTTTATTTGAAGCCTGACTTGTCTCTTTTTTTGCCCCTCAGTCGCACGTCTGTGCCGGCCGAACGGGATGTGCTTCATGCGTGTTCTGTGACTACTTTGTGAAGTCTAACGTTGAACATTTAAGATCTGTTTGGGAAAGTGTATATCGATGTGTGGTTGCTTATGCAAAGCGCGTAAGCACAAGCGTCTCAGTGAGCTCCAACGGGGCCGTTATGCGTTTGTGTACACACTGCGGTCGGAGCGCTCTGTTTTTCCACCAGGCTGCCTCTTTCTTCACCTCCTACGTTCCTTCTCCACCTCACTGCTCGCTGTTGGGTTGGCGGGTCAGAGAGCACAGTGTGTGGACGGGACAGAGGGTGGATTGTCCCGGCTTCCCGTTAGAGAGAGAGCGAGAGAGAGAGACGCACACTGAAACTGGACTGCCCCCCACCTCCGCTTCCTCTCTGGCAGCCGCAGTCTATCCAGCATACATCGGTGACCTCACAGCTTGCGCCTGCCGTGAAACGTTTGTGTATTTGGCTTTGTGAGCCGAAGAGTCTGTGTAGCTGGAAAGGTCGCAACTTGTTCGGGGCTCTGCCTTTGGACATTTTTTTGACGGCTCCATCGCTGGAACAAGATTGACGACCCTCTTTTATTGTCTGTATTAAAATAGAATCAAAGAAACAATAATGAGGGTCGGATCTCAGATCAAGGCATGCATACAGAAGGAATGGGCTGGTGGGGGATAAAATATCACCTTTTTGTGGCAGAAGGAAATGTAAACTTCTTTTGATACCAGCCAAAATCGGAATCGCCAGGTCAGGCTTTTTAACGATCGGTAATGGGCAATTGGTGCAGCCCTGCTTCCTAATTGTTGCCAAATCAAGAAACAAATGAACGGGGCCTGAAACGACTAAACACGATTGATCGATTATTAAAATAATCATCAACTAACTTGGTAATCAACTAATCCTTAAATGGAGTATGCAGACTCGAAAAAGGTCACTTGCTGAAATAACACACAGAGCAATAATTAAGTCAGAGTTGTACAAAACACATATTTAATCAGAAGAATCAGTAGAGTGAGCGATTAAAGCAGTAATTTTTTTCCAGCCCTAAAATTAACTTTCTTTCAATCTCCAAAGCTTGTTGGGTGAGCTGAAGAGAAAAAAAATGAAACAGGAAAAGGACTTTGGATGATCTAGAGATTGTGCAAAGAGGAGTGAGGAAAGATTCCTCTCCGTGAATGCCACAGACTTGAGAAATGCTGTCAGGGAAGACGGTCACTTTGCTTCTGGGAACATTCGAGAAGTCGGTGTAGCAGTTTCTAATTGATCCAACGTCCCGCCACCGTCGGCAAAGGCAGGTGTTTCAAAAAGTGATTTGTTCCTCCTGTTTCCTCTCTTGTTTCACGCGGCCAAACGGACCCGCACGTCGCTGCAAATGAATTTCCGGGCCTTTGAAGCGAACCGGTGTCACTGCAGTGTAAAACTGCTAGCACGGCCCATAAAAACAGAGCTAACGTTCCGTTTTAATCAAGATTTACAGACTTCACTGCTCATGAACACACTGTTGAGGTTTGATGTCTTCCAAACAGGCAGAGGGATAAAAAAAAAGGATATTTCTATGGTTAAATAAAACCAGAGAGTGAAACACAATAAGCCATGATCAACATTCCCATAGATGGGGAAAAAAAAGAAACGTCTCGATTCTGGCCCAAGACCCAGTTTGAGCCTCGGGGTTGATCCCAGAACAGCCTCCCTCTCCTCATCAATAAAACAAAGCAAACGAAGAGAGAAGAAATGACCTGTTTCCTGGAGTAACATGAAGCTTTTCCAGTCCTTTCATTTATTCCAGCCTCGGATCAGATCAAGGTGAATGTTCAGTGCGTCGTTCTGCTTTTTATTCAAATGAGTGGCTCTTATCTCTCTCTGCAGACTTGCTCAGTGCAGAAAGCAGGAGCAGCATTTTGTTTCTTTCCATGCACTTTTAGGGTATTCGGGTAAAATTTTAAGTTGCACTCTTAGGTCAGCAAAATGAAATGAAGTGCTCCCAGCTACTGTAACAATGACTAATAATGAGTCTTGCTTTCCCTTTTTTTTTTTTTTGAGAAGCTTATCTTCTTATCCTTCTACTTTCTTCTTTATTTCTGCTATTAAACTGCTGCTCTGCGACAAAGAAAGGTGGTGACTCAGCAAAGATTTAGACCCCCGTACAAGTTGCAGGGACTTGAGAGTTGACGGTTTTATTTTCTGTGATTGAAGATGGACCTCTGGAGAAAGAAGTAACTGGTTTGGTGTGTGTGGGGGTTCGGCTTTAAAGTGCCACCCAACTCAGGGTTTTCTCTTAATCTGTTTTGTGGTCTTTTGATGAATGCTTCACTTTTCTGCTTCTGTCAGGAGGGTTTCGGTGTTAGTGGTTCGGTTATTGTTTGATGCACAACTCTTCACTGCTTTACTTAAAAAAAAATAAAAATACCAGCCAAAGCAAAAGGAGGAAGTGGCAGAGGAAGCTAAAACAATCAGAGATGTGCAGAGTATGTTTTTCCTGACTGGCTTCTGCTTTTCTTTTTTCTTTTTTTTTTTCTAAAGAGGATCAAATTTATTAAATTTTTTTAGGCTTAAAAAAACGATTAAATGCAAGAGTATCATGGAGCATTTCCAGTTTCCATCTCTGCATCAAAGCACAAATTTGTGCAAATTTAATGCACAAATAGTTTCAGGTTTTTTCTTTCTATTCCTCTATCTTAAAAAGAATTACAGAAAGTGTACAGATTATTTTCTAGACAGTAGCTTTTAACTTATTTTTTTTTCACCTGATTAATTTACAAATTTGAAAGACATGACTCTTTCAGATTCTATTTTAATTTATTTCCGTCTCCCCCTGCTGGCCAGAATAAGAATGCACTTTTAAAGTACTTCTGCAACGTTTCCCTTTGAATTCCCTGAGCCTGTCTGTCATTAATATTCTGTTTTGTGATTCAAATACGAGCAAATTGTTTGTTTACGCAAAACAAAAACAAACAAAAAAAAAAAAACGTGAAATTGTTAAGGACCGTCATAACAAGCCTACGCTTTGCACCAGCCAGGCAGCCATCCTGATAGTATCTTTTCATAAGACAATGACGCGCCTAAAAGAAGAAGGGCTGGAATATAGTGACAACGTTGTGATTTCTTTTGTGAGAGCAGCGATAAGAGAAATAAATATTTCTGAAGATAATCTTAAAGTTAATCAGCAGTCTCCGCATTAATTGCGTCATCTGCTTCAGCTTTTCTACGTCACATTAACATTCTTCCTTATTTTTGCTCTGTTCCTTTCTTGTGATTGTAAACATGTTGCTTTTCGATTCCCAGGCACATGGACTCCCTTCAACCCGGTGACGGTCCGCTCCATCATCTGTAAGTAACTGCTGACGGCGGCACGCCAGGTTTTTTTACACAGCAACCTTTTTTTTTTTTTCCTGCTGAGACCGTTTGAGTTGTTTATCTGTCCCCGCCGCGCCACGACGACCAGATTAAGCCATTAAGTCATGAGGACACAGACAGACTTATCTTTTTGTGGTGCTCCGGTGGGAAAACTGCAGCCGACAATAAGATGGAGCCAAAAGCAGCGTCTGCAGCAGAACAGGAACGCTGGCTCAGACTCCACGTATCGATTCGTCAGAGTTTGGAGGCTCGGGTTGCAAACTTTTTAGCTCTGCAGTGTAGTCACAGCCTCGATGATTGTGCTTTGGCACAGATGCAAAAGAAAACGACCTTTTTCTCTTATTGAACTTTTTCATCTCCTGATGTGTCGTAGCTTTAAGAATAAATCCCTATAAGTCTCTTTCCTCCCGTTTGCGCCGAGCGCAGTAAATCCATTGTTTTATGGTCTTGCAGCGAGGATCACATCATGCAATAATGCTCCCTTTGTTGGGCGGTAATTGGATTGATCCGCATGACAGTGAGGAAATGGGAGTATTGGTGCTTGGAGCTGTTTTACTTCTTTGTCACTTATGTAGCAGGAGTTCTGAAACGCACTATAAACCCTCCTGTTAATTTGTGGAGATGCAACGCTGTCTCTCAATTCAAAGTATTCACACCGTTTGAACTTTTTCATATTTTGTCACACCTTTTATGCCATTTTTTGGGGGGATTTTCTTTTTTTTGTGATGGACCAAAACAAAGAAGCAAATACTCTTTGGCATGGAGAGAATTATTGAGAATGGGTCATTAACAGGTTACACAAGAAGTTGATGGGACGTTGAGGAGATTATAAAATTGTTTAGATCAGCCGCATTGCAGCAGGGATATATCTACAATTAGAGGTGCACTGATAAATCAGACGGCCGATAGATATTTGGTCGATACTTACTTCCACAAAGTTCTGAAAATCAGCCATTGTCCCATTTTGCTCTGTCGTGAGAGAGGGCTGACCGAAAGACCCACCTGGTCACCCCACTGTCGCCAACTTAGCAACTTTGTCACTATATTTAGTGACTTCTCAGACATAAAACAATCAGTACAGGGCAAAATTAAAATCTGCAAGTCGGCGGCGATGCAGAGGACACAATGAGCTTGTGCAAGTCAGTTGCTACTAACATTTGTGTGTGTGTGTGTGTGTGTGACCCTGCCTTCCTAACTATGAATGTTGCTTCCTTCCACCATGTTGCAACCAAGCGCTAGTTTGCGTTGCTCTGTCACACACTTCCTTTAAAGTTTGTGGTTGCAGCGTGGCAAAAATATGAAACCCCTCAAGCATGAGGAATACCAGAAGTCTGAAAAATGCCTCTAAACCGGTTCCGCTTCCCTCCTCTCAGCCATGTTTGACAGGGAAAACAAAGGCGGCGTCAACTTCAACGAGTTCGCCGGCGTGTGGAAGTACATCACCGACTGGCAGAACATCTTCAGGACCTACGACAGGGACAACTCGGGGTTCATCGACAGGAACGAGCTCAAACAGGCACTGACCGGATTCGGTGAGCAGCAAAGTATGCTTTTAGTAGTTCGAATTTCTTGGCCTTGGTGGAGGGCTACGACTGCTGGGCGCTCTGTCCTGGCGTACAGGCAGCGGCATGTCAGGAGGATGGTGCAGAGCTTAACCTCGGTTTACACTTGCCACTTGTCTGAGATGTTCTTTACTTCCCACTGTTTGTGCTAATCATTCATTTAGGTTAAACATTTATCTTCAGCTTAAGTATTAGAGACAAGTTTAACCTTTTCCTTGTTTTCTGGATGTAGTTTGATTGGGAGTATAAGATGTTTGTGTCGCTGCCAAAACCCATCGGTCTGCTTTAACGCAGTCCTGTTAAAATGTTCCAGATAATCTACTGTACGTTTTTCCTGCTGTTTGATGTATTGCTTGATTACCTTACATCTAAAACTTGTCTAAAAAAAAAAAAAAGATATATATATTTTTAAATGCAAACATTAAGCTGTTAAAAAACAAATGGAGACTGTCTCTGAAACATTACCACTGTTGCATTGCAGGCTATCGTCTATCAGACCAGTTCTACGGCACTCTGATAGAGAAGTTTGACCGGCAGAGGAAGGGACAGGTGGCCTTTGATGACTTCATCCAGTGTTGCATTGTATTACAGGTAACGGATAAAAACAGTTGATTGTGATGCTGCCTCATAACAAAGATTTTCCTGTTGTTTTTACACATTGTAATAATAGAAGCTAATACATTGGAGGCAAGATTAACAAATGTTCTGGTCTGAAAGCTGAAAGCTACAAGAAAAACAGTTTTACACAAGAACAATTTTTATTTTACTGTTTTTAAACGATCACACAACAGACTTGAAATGGTCTGAAAGCTGCAGCACATAAGTGAATAACATGCCAGTTTTTGTGGCTTGTGGGCGATTTTGTGTGACGCGTGTGAAGATGGCGTTGTAGCCGATCGTTTGAGTGGCTGTTTTGTCGTCTCCGCAGAGGTTGACTGACGTTTTCAGGCGATACGACACAGACCAGGACGGCTGGATCCAAGTGTCTTACGAACAGTATCTTTCCATGGTCTTTAACGTCGTATAACGCAGATGAAGACCGCAGAAGAGCACAACTGGACACGACTGTGCCAAAGCTCCCGGCGCCCTCTGGATGTCTGCCAGGGTGGACACTACAACATTTTTTTTTTTTTTTTTTAAACCTAGTCTAAGCCTGATTTGGAGAGTCTAATGAGAAGCTGTAATCTTAAAGTTAGAAAAAAAAAGTGATTGAGATATGGTAAGAAAAAAAGAAATAAAAATCTTGTAGTGTTTTGTTTGGTGACAAAATCTGAACAGGTCCATGCTGGGGACAATTATGGACACATCTGTCTTATTTGTCTGTTTGTCTGTTTAATGTCGACACATTTTTAATGTCTTAAACTTAAGCGATTGAAGAAAGATATTTCTGTTGAGTAAAATAATACATTGTAAATATAATTTGCATGCTTTTCAGGGAAATTAAGCCCCGTATTGAAGCATGCCGTCCCTTTTTTTTTTTTTTTTTTTTTAACTTTTCCTCTGCCCTCTTTGCTCAAAGCCATGTTTACAAAAACTGTGAAAGCAGGTGACGCTCTGCTTTGAGGTTCACTGACATGCCAGCTTACATGCCATATTTGTATGAACATATTTTTGACAGCAAATATTTAATGCTAGAACATGATTTTTGGTAGAGGGTGAGCATAATGATATCTTTTAGTTTGGCTTTTTTTTTTTCTTCTGTGCATGATGCCTTAAAATGTGTACAAAAAAATAACACAAATATTAAAAGAAATCTTTTATTAAAAAAGGTCCTCCAATGTCGAATTTGCACTCTTTATTTAAAGGATGAAAATAAAGGTAGAAATACTATTTTCTACCGATAACTCAGAAGTAGACATCCCACAAAAACATGGTGAATTATGTAAAAGGACAAGTTATGTCTCATGTACTTACATATTCTTAATGGTGGCAGGTTTTTATTTCCTGTTGTTTTACTCGTACATGTGATGGAAGTGGAGCAGATTAAAATGGCTGAAAATAAATGAAAACATTTCCTGTAAATCTTAAAATTGTTCAATGTTAAGATTCATGCATGGGAAATGAGGCAATTGTGTCAAATTCCAGACATAAACCCTTGTGTTTTTTTTGGATTTTATCTGACTAGATAAAGTAACCTGCAGCATAATGCTGCCACCAGTTATGTGCTACTTTGTGTACACATCCAGATTCAAAGAAAAAGTTTGATTTTGACGCATATAAATGAGTTGAATCAATATAACAAAAATCTAAAGTTCAAGTTCTATAAATTAAGATTTTCCTCTTCAAAAGAGTCTCAAACCTTTAGTTTTGGTCATGGTGAATGATTGTTGGAACATGTCCTGATAACCAAATAAAAGGGGCATCATCACAATGAGTCAATCATAAAAACAGTTATAAAATGTGACCAAATCCAGAAACTAGATTTTATCTAGGATAAGAGCGCCCTCTGCTGCATTTTGGCAGGCATGACTGCTGCAATGCACCAAGTATGTTTGTCCTCAGAACCTTCAGCACTTTGACTGCGGTTTCTATCAGGACCCATGAGAGGGTTGCGCCTTCCCAGCAGAGCTCAGCTCTTAGACTGACTGCTTTTAAAAGCGTTTGAGTGTCATTTCGAAATCGTTTGTGAGTTTCTAAGCGTCTGAGTGTCCCATAAAGAAAATGTTTGCAATGCCGCTAAAACATTTTCTTGGGCAAGTTTTCGCCGCTACGCATCAAGGCAGAATATTAAGTCAGTGTGGGAGCATGACTTTGAAAACAACAAAACCCTACAGCGCTTCGACGGGTGGCGAAGACGCGGGGACAGGTAAGAGTGTGCAATAGCGTAATGAGAACTGTAGGTGGCAACAGAGGACACCGTGATGACACTGCAGAAGAAGGCTCTGACACACCTGTAGCTCATTTGACATTAAATGCAGAAATCTAGAGAGGGATGGAAACTGCAAAAATAACACAAATTGAAGGATATTGTGAGTTACAATATCAGCTACTTCATCATGCAATGTAAGTACGGAATGACTACCCTCAGATTTTTGTCGTGAAAGTTGTTGAAAATTGACCAGTGAGACTTTTAGAAAAAGATGTATGTTTTCTGAGCGCGGCTATCAACTTTTCCATTGCTAATAATATTAATAAATCATTTGTTTAAAGTAAACAAACGGAAACTCCCTCAACGTAAATACTAATTCTAATTTTAGGATTTTTTTTTTTAAATCCGTTTGTTGATGGTTTTGTCTGATTTTTAAAATAATAGTAAGTCCACTGTAGAGACGGGTGATGTAGACTAAAAATGTCTGATATTTAGTATCACAAAGGCAAAAATAAATAAAGAAATAAAAGAATAAAAACCGCCATGATCTTTTTGGTAATAAATCTTGCACTGCAGTTAAGACTGGTTTCACAATCGCAGAACAGACCCGTTATAGAAAAGGCTCCTTCATTACACAAGTCACGTTAAGAAGTGGTACAACTGCTAAACAGAACTAAATAATTTTATCATATGTTGAAACGTGAACTAAGAATGTATTGATTTTCTGAACTAGCAGCAGAAAAGTAGTTGAAATAAATACTAATGTGTCAATTACACTGTCAGATTTTATGGTTTACTGACGATCTCAATTGGTTTCTTTTTAACACATGATTGCTAACTGCAATATTTTGTTCCCTAGTGTAAGTGAAATGTTAACTTATTCATTCCCAGTTTGCAAAGTTTCCAGGAGAAAATGTATGCAGTTTGTATTGTTAAATGAAACATTGAGAATATGAAGATGAGATCATATATTTGAATCTTGCATAACTTTGATTAATTCCTAGAACTCAGTGTACAGATATAGGGTGTAGCATAGATCTTCGGAATAGAGGAATATATAACATTTAGCTGTTTGCAACTATCACAAATTTTCCATTTTCCATTGTTTTTATATCATTTTGAGATACATTGCTTTTAATACTACTTGTGATTCTTTACATATGCTTTTTTTTGTCTGTTTTTTTTGTTCAGAATTTCACTTTAAGGCATGATGCAAAAGTTCCCTCCAGTGTTTCTGCCACAAAATGTTCCTGAAATAAAACTGCAAACAACGTCCCACAGAGGTAGTTAAGATGCGGTTCACTTCCTTGGAGCTCGCTCAGCTCTGTGTAATTACCGTGTTTGTTTAAGGTGTAGCAGAGTCGAAAGCTCGCCTGAGACAAATTGCCTTTGCATTTCATCCTCCACTGGGTTTGGTTTAGCAGTCTGTGTCAGCGTCTCTCACGCATCCAGTCGCTTTGTTTCCCTGGCCTCGTCTCCTCTGGAGGCAGCGTCCTGTGGGTGTGGGAAGCAGCTGGAATCCCTGGGATGAACCTAAACAATGTCAGGTCGGCTGCCTGGTCCAACCTCGAGCCACGATACGTAGCGCACATAAACACAACTCACACCAGCGCAGACATCCTCCTCCCAAGTGTTGAGACCCATATTGTTTTTTTGTTTTTTTCAGTCTGTGCATCTCACACGCAGTCTGTCATTGGCTGCAGGTCAGACCGTGGTCTCAGAGCGAAGGGGATCCGTGGTTACCGTGGCAATAAACCGACCAGAGGTGCGTAACGCGGTGAACCAGGAGACAGCGAGTCGTCTGCTGGATGAGCTGCAGGCCTTCGACAGCGACCCTGACTTGAACGTGGCTGTTCTGCATGGGATAGGTAAACAATGCTAGTAAAATCTTGAGTCTCTGCTTCATGTCAGTCAGAAAAAGATTCATAACTTTTTGCTTTTCTTTTTGATTTTAAAATTGTGTATTTGTTGTCATTTGCTACCAAATTTATACCGGACAGAGAAAAAGTGTAAAGCCTGAGACGTTCAAAAGGTAAAAATGAAAAAGAAAAATCTCCGACTGGCTGTTCTGAAACTCCTCCTTCTTCCCTTGTTTTGCACAGAAAGCATAAAAGGTGCTATATGAAGATACTTATGTGGCTAAAAAAATATTTGTTTGTAACCTTTATTTCACCAGGAAGAGAAACTCATTGAGATTAAAAATCTCTTTTTAAAAGTGTGCTGTGCTATACAACAGCAAGAAAAGATAAAACCAAGACAATTTCAACCTTTAAAACATTTTAATGACAGAAATATTATTGGTTCAAGTAAAGAGCATTTGCTCTTTTGTATAAATATGGATACATTTTTTTTCCACATCTCTCAGATTATAGATATTTAATATCTGTCCTTGTTGCAAACTTTATCTGTCTTAGAAAAAAAATTTCCATTTTAGCATTACTTCTGAAAAATAATCACAAGTTAACACTCTAGACTGGAGCTCTTTTCTTGACTTCAGAAACAAGCAAACAGGAAATTTACACAAGCAAAACCCATTTCAAGTGTTTTTTTAACACTTGCACCTTTCAGTGAACTGTACTGAATTTACACAAGTTGCATCGGTTTACGGCAATACAACAAAAGCGCTGAACTTCATGCAGCTCTGAAAACTAAAGCATCTTCTGTTTCCATCATCCTCAAAATGCTTGGACGGGAATGCCCAGAAAACCCAGACCGTGAACACAAACACCTGCGAGGTGACCTGCCCTGCTGGACCAGGATCAGGTCACAGCTCTAATCATAGCACACGGTGCGTAAACGCCTTCCCCCAGTGGAAACATCGTCTTCGGCCGGGGACCAGCCTGTGTGAGGTGTGTGCCGTGGCCTCAAACTGTATAATTTGTTGCCTCTCCACACGATGGCTGCAGACGGATCTGGTCTACGTAGCGGCTCGCTTTAAACGGGCAAAAGTCAGCCTTGCGTTTCAGCGATCACACCCCACATTTCTGTCAGCGGGCTATCATCCGCTGCTGCTCCATCACGAGAAGCCGGCCGACCCCTCGGTGGTGATTAGCAGCGCCTCGGTGCCGTAAAACGACAGGCAGGGAGGTTCCAGCGTGGATGTAATGTTTCTGCAAACATACGGAATCCATTTAGGTCAAATTAACACTGACACAGTCACTCTCTCAGCCCGCTCATTTTTCTTTTCTTTTTTTTACTTATGAAGTTGAGAGTAATTGCTTTCAGCAGGGGTTGAATTTGCTGGGACGTTTGTTTTGATGATTTCACGTTCAGGTTTCTGGGAGTAGCTTTTTAGCCAGGTAAGCTTTGGATTCTGTGTCAGCTGTGTTGCTTACCATGACTAAAAGGCCGTAGCAGATGCTAACTGGGTAAAGCAGCACTGGCGTCACATTAAATGAACGCAGAAAGTGGCAAAT